GTCATGATTTCCTTTGCTGTGCAAAACCTTTTTATTTTGATGTAGTCCCATTTGTTTATTTTCTCTTTAGTTTCCAATGCCCTAGGAGCAGTATCAGTGAAGAAATTCCTTCGGCCTATGTTTGCGATTTTGCTGTCTGTGGATTCCTGTAGTATTTTTATGGTTTCTCATCTTATGTTTAAGTCCTTTATCCATTTTGAGTTTATTTTTGTGAATGGTGTAAGTTGGTGGTCTAGTTTTATTTTTTTGCATGTATCTGTCCAATTTTCCCAACACCATTTATTGAAGAGACTGTCTTGACTCCATGGTATGTTCATGCCTCTTTGGCGAATATTAATTGAGCATAGTGGTTTGGGTCATTGAGCATAGTGATTTCTGGGCTCTCTATTCTATTCCATTGATCTATATGTCTGTTCTTGTGCCAGTACCAGGCAGTTTGAGAACAGTGGCTTTGTAATACAGCTTGATATCTGGTATTGAGATCACACCAACTTTGTTCTTCTTTCTCAGGATTGCTGCAGCTATTAGGGGCCTTTTTTTATTCCAGATGAATTTTTGGAAAGTTTGTTCTAGATTTGTGAAATATGCCGTTGGTAATTTAATGGGGATTGCATTGAATTTATAAATTGCTTTGGGTAGTATTGTCATTTTGATGATGTTGATTCTGCCAATCCATGAACACGGTATATTCTTCCATCTGTTTATGTCTTCCTCTATCTCTTTTTTCAGTGTTTTGTAGTTTTCAGCATATAAGTCTTTTACCTCCTTAGTTAAGTTTATTCCTAGGTATTTTAATTTTTTTGGCGCAATGGTAAATGGGATTGCTTCTGATCCCTATGGCTAGCACTTCCAGTACTATGTCGAACAGGAGTGGTGAGAGTGGACATCCCTGTCTTGTTCCTGTTCTTAGGGGAAATGGTTTTAGTTTTTGCCCATTGAGTATGATGTTGGCTGTGGGTTTGTTATATATGGCTTTTATTATGTTGAGGAATGATCCTTCTATTCCCACTTTGCTGAGACTGATTACATAGATTCACATATAACTTTTCTCTCTCGCTTACAACTCAACTGCTTTCAACTCTATATGGAACATACAGTATTAGCACTTAAACAGTTTATTCCAACCCATTTCTTCTTTTATATTCTAATACATCTTCATTATGTTGTTTGATGAGATAGACCCACAAGAAGACGGTCCTGCCCAAGGTCAGCCCCACTTTCAGCCAATCAGGCTTGTCGTGTAGTGGCTCCCCAACATAGAACTTGGACCTGCTGACAAGCCGCTCGGGAGCCTGGTCGGGGCTAGCAGCCGGGAGAAGGGCCGCAGCCACGCAGACAGCGCCATCTTGCTGGGCGGTCTCCCCCTCCCCCTCCCCCAATGTATTTTTATTTTAAACATTTCTGAAAATTTAACTGAGAGTATTTTTTTATATCTTTCATTTATCTCTTCATTATGATTATGCCTCATTTATCTTCTTTGAACATGCAGTTTCTTTATAAGACCTGTCTTTATGTCCTTGTATGCTAATTTTATCACCTTTGGGGTTTTCTGTCGTTATTAATTACTTTCCTGATCACAAATCCTATATTTCTGCTTTACTTTGAGTTTTAAACTGTTTGGTATGAATTTATATATATATAT